AGCTACCATACGGGATTATCTGCCCCAGACTCCTGTTCTCCTATAGTGAACAACCCCCACTGTTTCAGCCACAGCCACCTGGGCTGCCATTACAGCCGAGACTGCTTCTGATTGGCACACATTTTGCACTGAGAGCAATCATCTTGGCACCCAGACCTAGCTCAGCTCTTGAGTGGACACACAAGTATTATAAAAAGGAAAAAAATCTGAGACTTCTCTTGTCCCACTTATTAGTGTTTGCCAGCTAAATAATCCCTTTTTAATTCTTTACTGTGCTGGTAGCCAACAATGGCATCTACCCAAGAGGGCAAACACATGCTGCTTAACTGACTAATCTAAAACATTTTTTCACTAAAAAGAAAAATTAAAAAGGAAGAATGATAGTTTCCCAAAGACTATATGAATAGACAACACAAATAGACTTAAAATAAACCGTGAGCCTCCCCTCTGCCCAGTCCTGCTAACATCCTAAAGGCACATGGAAGACGGCAGGCACCAGCCTAATTTCACACAAGCAGGAAAGAGGAGAATAGACTGTTGCCAAGGTCATTTGGGGCTGTGGGATTAGCCCCATTTGGTCCACAGGCATGAAAGAGTGGCAGGGGTGCTGAGCAATGCTATCCCAGAGAGGAGGAATGAAATGGGTGCATAGCAGGCACTGCCTCAGATGGCCTGCATCCTCCCCGAGGCCAGGGCAGCCAGAACACACCATCTGACTCCGGCTATGAGGATGGCCCCAGTTCTGAAGTCGGGTTTCCCTACAATTTTAGGCTTATACACAGCTGCACAAGAGCTACTCAAAACACAAAAGCCCCAAACTCTCAGTAGGTCAGTCAGTGCCACCTGCTGCTTGGATGCCTCTGGCAGCTGGCTCAGGTCACCCCCTTCTGCTGGTGGGTGTCGGCAAGGCAGTCTGCAGCTCAGATCCCTTGGAACCCATCAGGCACCGGAGGCCAAGGAGCCTGGCTGAGGTCAGCAGCTGAGTCCCCTAGAGGCTTAAGAGAAAAAGCTTCTTTCACAGTTCTCTCCAGTTCCCAGCCCTAGCTGTCAGCCTCTTTATCTCATGTCTGGTGCTAACAGACATTTTGGTAGAAATGCGATCTGCTAATTAGAAGCAATGACGCCAGGAATGGAACCGCAATCATCCATTTGCCTAACAAAGTTAGCAGCTAATGAGGATTTCTAGCTTCTGTCAGCACACAGCCGAGGTCACCTGAGCTAGCATCAGAGGGGAAATCGAAAGGCATCTTGCAGATCTGTGAGGTGGCAAAGGGAAGGAGGCTGCACAGATCCTAAACAGCCCAGGCTGTGAACCTACTTGGAATTCCAGTTTAACTAAAAGAGTACTCAGGAACACCCAGCCAGAGTTACGCAATGGTTTAGGGTCGACTTATGAACCAGGAGGTCACGGTTCAATTCCCAGTCAGGGCTCACGCCCAAGTTGCGGGCTCACTCACCCGATCAATGATTCTCTCTCATCATTGATGTTTCTACCTCTCTCTCCCTACTCGTTCCTCTCCAAAATCAATTTTATACACACACCAGTGAGTGTGTATGTGTGTGTGTAAAACTTGTTTTTTTTTAAGAGTACTTAAGTTTATCTAGCACTATGCCCAAAGTGTTGGGATCTCCCTTCCTACCTCAGGTCCATTCTGGAACAGGTCAGATTCTGAAATCCCGGCATTTTAATCTGAGAAGACCACAGAGCAATAACTTTCTTTAGACAATTAGCTGCCACAATATTTTTAATTTAATTTAAAAAGGTCCGCCACTTACATCTATAGACACTTATGGCATAAAAATGATTACAGAGGAGTCTATAAGTTTTCCATTTCCTACTAGGACTCAAACCACTATTCACCTTCTTCTTGCTCCACTGGAACTATCCAGGTGACCCTATCCAGACGAACTCTGGGCCCCTCTCAACGCCATCCCTCTACTCATCCCCTCACCCTGGTCCTTCTCCTCCTCCTCTCACGACCACCTTCCTAATGGTGCACAAAACAGCTGACAGACAGGACTTTTTCATCCAAGGACATCATCAAGATGCACTTAATTAGGTACAAAAAAAAAAAAAAAAGGGGGGGGGGGACTTAACAGGGTTTTCAGGAACAATGCAGCAGTATAACCCTCAGTTCTGTTGGGCCCACCTGGGGCCATATCCCCGTGACCAGAGGAGCAACTAGGCCACAGCAGCCCTCTTGTGCTCTGGCTGGCTCGTAGGTCCAACCTGCCTTGTGAAGTTCTTTCTGTTTCTGCCACATGCCTCCAGCATTATAGGGGCTGCTGCTACAAGGAACAGAGTCTGGGCTCTCACACAAGCCAGGGTATGCTGGAAGTCTGATGGGTACCAACCTGGCCTCCCCCATGTCCCATGGCAATCACCACCTGGCCTCTAGCAACATTTTCTTATGCCCAGTCCTCTAAAATGCTGAGCCCAGCTTACCCAGGCCTCTCTCAGAGCATGGTACCAGCAGACAGCTGATTCTCTTCCCTCGCTATCCTCAGCAAAGAAACGAGCTCCTGCTCTCCTTTGGGGCCGAGAAGTCTGATAAAGGCATCCAGGTGGTCAGCAAGCTGTGTCAGGGGCAGGGCCATTGGTTACCTAGTGAACGTTTCAAATAGCAGGGTCCCTGCCCGGGGAACCACAGCATCAGTAGGAACACTCCATATCCCTTAGTGATCCAGGCAGCAAAAAGGGCCAGACTTTTAGTGTGTGCCTAGATGCCATGTCTGGTTTTTATGCCCTCACTCCCCACCAATTTGTATAAACTATATGAGAAATAAAATGGAAGTTCTTTTTCTGGTATGTAATCGGCTAAAAATACGGTTGAACCAGTTTTCATGCAAGCTTATCTGTACTTTTCTTTTCTCCAAAGCCAGACTATTTTAACTCTGACCTTAATAAAGAGGAACCCAGGAGGCCTCACTATGCTCCTTCCAACTAATTATCCCACTTCTCTAAAATTATTAAATGTACACACCATTGCATTGCTGTTTGAGCAAATGTGGCTGCAGGGGCATAGAGGTGGTCAGCTGTGTGGTATGTCTCTTTAATACCTGGCACTGGGAAACTCTACCTGCCCTTTGGAAGGACAGACCCTATACATTAGTAGTCATATGAGCCTAAACATTCAGGAAAGGAGTAAGATAAGTCATATTACTGTGCCCTTTTCATTTTCCTTGGGGAGTGAAGAGTGCTTCAAAGTGATGGCAATTAAAGAGAAGAGTGAAATAAATTTGGTGCTGGTTATGAGAATCTTCTTTGTATTATTTAAAAGACTTCGATGTGAGGCAGAACTGAATGAGCACTGGCCATACACACCCCGAGTAGCAGGTGCACAGGGCCTGCTGACACCTGAGAGCCAGACAGGAGATGGAGAGAAGCCCCATGGTAGTCCAGGACCTACACCAAGCACCACAGGTACCTTCTACAGCAGGAGCAGGTACGAGGAAGCACCCAGAGACAGATAAGCAATGTCTGCAAAAAGTCTGCTAGGAAAGCAGGAGAGCACAGATAAACCCTGCAGTGATCAGATTCACAGGCTGCTAAACAGAAGGTTTTGGTTCTACCCTAAAAAGTGTCTGAAGCCAAAACAACAACAAGCCTACACCTTGCTCAACTACAGACTAGCTTAACTCATCCACCCACACTAATGACCTGTCCAAAGAAGAAGAGTGGCATTTCTGGGCATAAACACTATTTACTTCAGTCTCTACTGCTCTGCACATGATGTCCAGTGCCAATCAAAAATTACAAGGCACATAAGGCTACAGGAGAATGGGACCCATTATCAAGTGAGAAAATAGTCTATTGAACCAAACCCAGAGATGACCCAGATGTTGAAATTATCAGGTAGAGATCTTAGAATAACTATGATAAATATGGAAAAAGTGGATAACATATGTAAACAATAGAGAATTTCAACAGAAAAATGGGAACCATAAAAAATGCCAAGTGCAAAAAGGATCAGTTAAAGTTTATACTCTTGACTTTTCGCAAAGAACCCACCAGGCTGTCTCCAGAAAAAGAAAATCCTCATTTTACAGATCAGAAGACTGAAACTGACAGATACCATCATGCCATGAAACTTCTCAAAGGAATGAAAACCACTGAGGAACTGAGACCACTGTCAGTGCCGCTGCTCCCACCCTCCACCCCGCCTGCCCCCGCCCTTCCCCAGCTCCTTGAGGCATCTAGTTCATCAGAGCCCTAAAAAATTAAAATCTCCAGAACTGCACTGCCCAGTTCAGCAAACTACAGCCCACCAGTGGGATCCAATCTACAGCCTCTTTTGGTATGGCCTCCGAGCTAAGAATGGTTTTGACATTTCTTTACAACTATAGAAACAACAACAAAGAACACTTGACAGAGACCATATGTGGCTTATAAAACCTTCAATATTTACTATCTGGCTCTCTTTACAGAGAAAGTGTGTCAATCCAGATCTAATCTAGGAGAAAAAAATAAAAACCTCAGCAAGACTTAAGGAAACAAAGAAAGGGCTATTGATGTCATGCTCTCTTTTTTTCCAGATTATGCCTTTTACCAGCCTTCTAAGTGCTGACAAGTAGATCTCCATAAAGATTCAAGATCTCTCTCTATCGGTGGCTCAAATTGGAGGAAGTTTATGGACAAAGCCACCCAATTCCCCAGGCCTGGGTCACCAAAGTCCTACTCTCTGCCTGTTCCACACAAGTTAAATCGAAAGTCCCTACGTCTCTGATGAGTAGTCACATAAACTGCTTTCTTGACTCCAAGATATCATCCTGAAAGGTGTTTCTTTGTTGTGCTTTGTTTGATTGTTTGAGAAGGTCAGATCTGAGAGTTGATATCCATCCTGGGAAAGGCTGAAAGGGTACTTGCTTCCACCTCCTAGTATTAGCAATGGGGTACTGCAATGAGGCCTCAAGGAGCTCTCAAAGGCTCTATGCAAAGTCTCTGAATCAGAAGATATCACCTCACATTCTCAGTCACTTGAGATCTGCCATTCCATAACCGTCTGCTGTGCATTTACAATTTGCTGAGCATTACAAAGAAGATCAAAGTGATCTCACCTAGAGAGAGGGCACGGTTTCTATCCTCAAGGAGCCTATAATCTGAGGAACAAGACTTATAAAGATGTAGGAGGGGAGAATTAGGAATAAAAGGCTATAACTGTAGTAAAACCAAAATAAGTCTTTCATCTCACTCATGATTTCAAAAAACTGCAATTCAAAAACTCTTGAATCTGGTATTTTCTTAAAATTCTGGTTATAGAGTTCATAGAGCTAAGGTAGCAGCTTCTCAGATGTCTGAACAATGAAAAGAATGCAATAATAGATCAAAACTCCCTGCAGCCAAAACCAGTTTGGCTCAGTGGATAGAGCGTCAGCCTGCGGGACTGAAGGGTCCCGGGTTCGATTCTGGTCAAGGGCACGTACTCTAGTTGCGGGCACATCCCCAGTAGGGGGTGTGCAAGAGGCAGCTGATCGTTGATTTTCTCTCATCGATGTTTCTAGCTATCTCTCTCCCTTCCTCTCTGTAAAAAAAAATCAATAAAATTTATTTTAAACAAACAAAAAAACTCCCTGCAAACTGGAAAGCAAAACAGGAAGCCACTTTTTCTGTGCAAGTCCTGAGGGACATATTCAGGTAGAGAAGCACTCAGTTACTGCCCTGTGTACACCATTCAGTAGAAGAGAGCCTCTCTGTTCTTGTGAGTTTCTTTTGAGGATGAAGAAAACCTTCCTCAAGAGATCCCTGTTACACGTCCAGAATTTTACTCCAGGCCCAGGCCTGAACTGACCTCTCCTATCTGCCATACCCCCCACTCCTCTAGCCTCCAGCCAAATGCCAGGTCTTCTCCCAGCCACTGGCCTTTACTCCTGCAGTATCCTTCATCTGCAACACCCTTCCTTACTCTTCTTCACGGGGCAAACTTCTCTCAGTCTGTAAGATCCAGCTCACATGTCACCTCTCTTAGAAGACTTTCATACCTCACTGGGAAGAGGCTAGTGTTGCTGCCTCCTTTCTCCTCTGGTACTTCCCTGTCTCTTCGGTAGGATATTGTAACACTCTATGGTCATTTTGGAGAACATGTAACTCTCCTAATAAATAGATCTTCTCAAAGAGAGGGACTATAGCTAATTTTTTGGTAATAATTTTTTATTTTTCAATTACAGTTGACATACAATATCACATTAGTTTCAGGTATACAACATAGTTATTAGACATAATATAACTTACTAAGTGAGCATGCCAATAAATATATTACCCATCTGATAGTATACACAGTTATTATAAGATTAGAAGCCTGGTACACGAAATTCGTGCGCAGGTAGGGTCCCTAGGCCTGTCCAGCAATCAGGGCCAATCGGGGCCAATGAGGGCCCTCCGGCTACTAGCCAGGGCCTTCCTTCGTTCCACGCTTCCCCCGGTGGTCAGCACACATAATAGCGAGCGATCAAAATCCCAGTCTCCCAGTCTAACTTCTGAGGGGACATTTTGCATATATATATTAGATTATAGACTATATTCCCTATGCTATACTTTATAGCCGCATGACTATTCTGTAACTACCAATTTGTACTACTTAATCCCTTCCCCATTTTCATCCATCCCCCCCCCCAACCTTCCTCCCATCTACCAACTGTCAAAATATTCTCTGTATCTATTAGTCTGTTTCTGTTCTGCTTATTCATTTATTTTGTGTGTTTTTTAGGTTCCATGTATAAATAAAATCACATAGCATTTGTCTTCCTCTGTCCATCCATGTTGTTGCATATGGTAAGATTTCATTCATTTTTTGGCTGAGTCATATTCCATTGTGCATATATATATATATATATATATACACACACACACACACACACACACACACACACACCACACTTCTTTGTTATCCATCCATCTATTGATGGACAGTTCTATATCTTGGCTGTTGTAAACAATACTGTAATGAACATAAAAATATATTGGAGGCCAAGTGCACAGGTTCATGCACTGGAGTGGTCCCCCAGCTTGGCCTGTGAAGATTGGGCTGAAACTGTGAAGACTGGGATCACAGATTGCAAGAGGGTGGTTCTCGGGTGACGCACCCCAGAATTGGGCTCCCTCCTCTCTGGTTCCAGGTGCATCACCCGAGAACCACAGCTGCCAAGTCACTGCAGCTCCTGCATTAAGCGTCTGCCCCCTGGTGGTCAGTGCACATCACATCTACTAGCCAGTTAGCTGGTTGGCTGTTTGCTTATGCTTTTATATGTATAGATGTCTTTTCAACTTAGTGTTTTCAGTTTCTTTGCATAAATACCCAGAAGTGATTTTTTCCCCCTCCCAATTTTTAACCACCATATGAGGGGAAGGGACCAGCCAACTCCAAGTCTCTCCTCCTACCAGTCTCAATATGGCTTCTTCTTTATATCCTTAGTTGTAAGACTTCTGTTCAGCTAGAGTTGAGAAAGTCAGGCTATATCTTACTTATTTCCATTTACCAAGAAATTAACCCAATGCCTAACATATAACAGGTATACAGAGAAAATTTTATATAAGTTGCTTACCAAAAAAATTAAAGATTTTATTTTCTATCACATTAATGCAATCATGTATATCTAATCATATGTACCAAGAATCTAAAAGACAAGCTTATAGATTTCATTCTTCCCTAAAGCAAAGCTACTGCCAAGCCTGTATTACTCCATCCACTGGATTTTTAAAGCTCTTCCCATCAGAAAACTCAGCCCAAGAAACCATTCTGTTCTTTCTTATTTCTCTCTGGAATGTTTTGGACTCTAAAACATTGATTTGGATACCAAACTTCCTCCCCCAACTCAGAGAGAAGCACACCTCATACAGGCTCAATTGATTCCAGCCCCAATTATAACTGGACTTTATCAGTGAGCAAGTGGCAAGAATCAGGCATAAACTTTCTCAAAAACAGTTCATCACTGATGCACTAGATTGGAAATGATAACATTTTTGTTATCAGAAGTAGGTTACACAAATGATTGCCTTTCCTTGTCATTTGTTTTATGATCTTTTCCCAATAATGAGCTGAATCATTCCTTTATGCAGAAAGGGATTTAAAAATCAATATTGTAAAAGTCAGAAGCAAAAAGACAGGGCAGAAGCACACATTAAATGTCAAACTGTACTCAGCCAACTCAAAAGGAAATCCTTCGGGCAAGGTTACAGGTTCAAGGGTACAGGGCTTGCAGACACTAGTCAGAGTAGCCACTGAGAACAAGTGGGCAGCCAACTCATGCCAAGGGCCATGCCTGTTTTGCCTTGGGGTTCAACCTGGCCTCCTCACAAGGAGGAAGTGCTGTGATCCCAGCACCCTTATGTGCTCTGCCTAGCAGGGTCCTTCAATCCTTGCATCTGGAAGACACAGATAAAGAAAGAAAATTCCCTATGCTGCTGGTCAGGTTCTTCTCTTCATCTTTCTCCTATTTAAATCCTTCAAAGTACAATTTTGAAATGATCTCCACTAAAAGTACATGCTAACCACACCAACCTAAATGGAAGTGATGGTAACAGCTTTGCTCAGGTGAGTACCTCGTGCCCCTATTGATTTATAGAACAGGGCCTGGGAATAGCTTCCCTTCTCCTCTGTTCACACTGAGTACTGAATGTGGTTGTAAGCCTTTAAAACTGGGCTCTGGCCTAAACCGGTTTGGCTCAGTGGTAGAGCATCGGTCTGCGGACTGAAGGGTCCCAGATTCGATTCCGGTCAAGGGCATGTACATTGGTTGCGAGCACATCCCCGGTAGGGGGTGTGCAAGAGGCAGTTGGGCGATGTTTCTCTCTCATCGACGTTTCTAGCTCTCTATCTCTCTCCCTTCCTCTCTGTAAAAAGTCAATAAAATATATTTTTTTAAAAAACTGGGCTCTGCATCTATCTGCTATAACACTGAGCAACAGAAACTAACTGAAGCCAAGGAGAGTTGATGCAGGTTACCAGCAGATGATCTAATCCTCAAGAAGGTAGGAGGACCAGACAGGAAATCCTTCAGGCAAGGCTATAGGTTCAAGGGTGAAGGGCTTGCGGACACTAGTCAGAGTAGCCAGCGAGAACAAGTAGGCAGTCAGCTCATGCCAGGGGCCATGCCTGTTTTGCCTTGGGGTTCAACCTGGCTTCCTCACAAGGAGGATGTGCTGCCTCAGAAAATGACAGCCTCATAGGATGACAGTCCTGGTCAGCCATTCAACAAATAATCCCATCATGGCCCCCCACCTTGGCCTCCTCATTCACTCAAACCTGAAAGTCCCAAGAGAGAGGATCTGACTGCCTGGCCTTTGGTGCTGCGCTCCGATCCTCCTAGTACCCGTGGCAGGGGGAGAGAAGAGATCTAGCTTCCACAGAGGAAGTCAGACATTAGAATTGCAATCCCAACAAGATGACACAACATCGAGAAACAGATAAGTTCCCAGAAGAAAACAGGGCCACTAAATGCATGAAGAAAAGTAGTTACTAAACATCTTCAAAATAAAGGAAGTCACTTGCTTCACTATTCCCTAGGAACTCTGGTTCAGAAAGGCATTACCCATCCAGAGATTTGGGGGCGGGACTCAAGTAAGGATGTTATCTCCTATACTCTAAAGTTTCCCTCCATTTAAAAGCTACACACCTGTCCTGGAGGTCATTTATGTTGCTTCCACTTGTACAGGTTCTCTTGCTGGAAGAAGGGCCCAGCAGTCTTCTTTGCAGGTAGAGAAGGGAAGCTGTGAATTCCCTTTCACTATAATTAACACATTCCAGGTGAGAATTGATACCACACCTGGAAGCTGCAATTTTTCAGGCTAGATGACTGTCCTAGATGGCCAACCTTTTTTGCTCATGCCATATTGATTAACCCTTCATCTCCAGGACCAGGGTCCTTTTGACTTGGTTTTCAAGATCCATGCAAAGGCGTGACAACCTGCCTGCCCCTCAGACACTAACTGCAAGAGCCTCTAAAACTGTGTTCTCACCCTAGTTTCTCTACTTTAATTGATTCTTCACCAGGATGCCACAGGGTTCTAAAAACACAAGTCAAATCACATCATACCCATTCTTATGAACTTCGGGAATCCTCTGCAGTTTCAGTCACTGTGAGCTATATTGTGGGTTAACTACTCATGATGTCCAAGGCCTTCTCTAACCTGTCTTCATACCTCACTCACTTCTTCTCGGGACCCATCACCTTCTGGATATCCACCTACCTCAGCCCAGCTGCTCCCTCAGCCTGGGGCATCCACACTGCTCAAGGCTGAGATCAATGCCATCTCTTCCACCTGCAGTTGACACCACAGCCTTTGCTTTCCCAAGCATATTATCTTTACCTTCGATTCACACTTAATGTAACCGATTTGGCCTTTTTCAAAGTTTTTGTGTAAGTCTGCCTTCCCCACTAGACTGAACATTTCCCAAGGGAGAGGATCCTACATTGTTTGTATTTCCCAGAGGGCTTAGTTCAGCCAACATTCCTTATGTGATTACTGTACACTTTGCCTATCTGTGCACTCACAGAAGAATGACTCTGAATAGACTCCCATCAGTTAAGTGTATTAATAACAATAACAGCATCAATAGCACACATTCATGATCTGCCAGGGAGCACTAAGCCCTGCACAGTTACTTATCACCTCCACTGATCCCTTGGGCATTACTGTGTGCAAACATTCTGATTCTCAAACGAGGTTCATGGACACTGGAGGATGTGTTCATGCTAACAAGTAGGGAGCTAGGATTCACACCACGCTGCCTAACTCTACAAACTTAACATTTCATTTACTGCATGGCCCAAGACCCAGTCTTCTCCCTTCACACCCTCTGGCACACATACCACTGCAGCACTTACATCTGTTAAGTTTCAGATCAGAACCAGGCCATCAAATGATCCAGCCCTTAAACCACATGTGTCAAACAAAAGGCCCGTGGGCCAAATCCCTCCCGCCAGGCCTTGCAATGTGGCCCGCACCGCGCTGTCATCACTGCACTCCGCTGCGTTTCCATCACAATGACAGTTTATGACTGTTCAGTAAACCATTGGGCCCGCGATTTAGGCTGGATTTTAGATTTTGGCCCCTTCTCTGATTGAGTTCGACACCCCTACCTTAAACTATAGACCCGAGGTCCCAGAGACTGAAAACAGACCAGAGGAGGAAAGCGTATCAGCACCAGAGCAAAGGTTACAAGAACTCAAGTTCCTGGTCCCTGAACACCCTTTCTACAAGGTAACTCAGACACTAAGCCCAGGGCTTCAGACAGATCAGATCACAGGCCTCACCTCTGCTTCCCTGCATTACGAGAGCATAAAAGGCCAGCTCAGTAAGACCAGCACTCACCAGCAGGGCTGACTTCTGCTTCTCTTGGTCAAGGCTGTCCTCCCCGCCGTGAAGGGATGCATTCCCGTACTTCATGGCTGCCTCTCTTTCCCTCATTGCCGCCTGAAACGGCTCATCCTGGACTATAGCCTGCTTCTGTTTATACCTGTGCCAGGAGAGACATGAAAGAAGCAGGTGCAGATATAATGACTTGGCAGAAGGTAGCCAAGAAAAAGTTTGTGCACTCACTTCTGCTGACCAGGGGACTGGGATCTGTGGGCCAATGGAAATTAGATCTAACACTGGCCAGAGAGAGTACTGTGAAAGCTCATACCATCTGACCCTCGGAAGTCAGGCATCAGTGACAATGCCTGAGGCAAGGGGTTACAATGACACTCTCAGCCAGAGCAATATGGATTAAGAACAGAAGGAGTGCTGACACCAAGTCAGGAAGTCATATCCCAAATGATAAATTCTTGGGGCAGGATTTCAATCCCTCACCAGCCACTCTTTCAAAGTGGATTGGAAGGGTGGAGAGCCCACCTTCCCTGCCTTCACTTGAGTGCTTAAAGGTTTTTAGATAGTAGCAGCCCTCTGTTTTGAACATGTAACTCTTCATTTTGAATCTGACCCTAACCTTTGAACTATTTATGAGCTTTTTGTCCAGTAAAATAATCCTAAAGAGAGAAAAAAGTTACTAGTACTAAGATGTTGTTAGTATTATTTATTATAGTGTAATACATGCAAACAACTGAAATGTCTTTTAACTTGACCTTGATTGTTGGATATCTGATATAATCACAAAATGGGATATTATATCATCATTATGAAGTACATTATTTGATTTGTCTATAGGTTGAATCTAAAAATTCAGTACCAATAAACTACTTTTAGCAAAATGTTTAAAAAGCAATTGTAACAAATGGGGGAAAAATTATAATACTAAGTGGAAACAGAAAAATATAAAATTATATATGATTTAAAAAAATAATCCTAAACTAAAGAAAAGAACAAATTTGAAACAAACATTCCAAAATACTGACAGTGGTTGTCTTGAAATGGTGAACCTATGGGTCAATTCGTTCATTTTAAATATTTTCTAAGTCTTTCATTAGCATGTATTACTTGATCATTTTTCACTGTTTAAAAGTACCCAAAAAGGGGTTCAAGTTAGTTATTCTTGGAGAGGCCTCTTAGGACTAGGGAGGTAAAATTCTTAGGCTGTCAATCTCAATCCATGACTATGGAACAGACCTACAAGGCTGACCTACTGAAGGAAAAAACCAATGTGATTGACACTTCACTTCTTAAACAAATTCACTGGGTCCTTTATCTGTCCTCAAGGGTTTTAAAGAAGGTGGTCAATAACAACTACAATTAGCATTCACTGAGAACTCTGTGTGCCAGGCACTGTGTGTACTTTTTATACATTAACATATTTAATCACGACAATACTCCAATGAAAGAGATACTTGAATTATGTCCTTATCAGAGGCCTAGAGAGATGCAGTGATTTTCCAGGGTCACATTTCCAATAAGTTGCAAAATTAGAATGCAAACCTGCACTCCAGGAGGGCCTCTGTGCCTTCACCACTATTCTACAAGCCTCAGGAGGAGAAACAGTCCCAGTTCAGAGATATGGCCAGCTCTCCCGGATGTGGCCTATGCTGATGGGAAGTATCACCAGCATACTAGAGCCAAGTCCACCTCACCAATTACAGTTAGAATTGTGAGGGTCCTCTTTCTCCTCCATACCTCTAAAAGTATGCCTGCACATGCACACAGGCACAGAAGGCACGGACACTCAACTATTTAGTCCTGGCTTTTTCAAGTGAATTTTTTGAAAACATTAACAATCAATGTCCACATGTCCCTTTTTGTGTTTCTTCACCTTTAAAACTAGGACCAGTACAACCTATACCGTAGGGTTGTCGTGCAATCTAAATAAGACAAAACACATGAGACAAACCCTAGAGCCTTCAGACCAGGGAAAGGTCCCTATCAGAAAAGAGTGGTCAACCAGAGCTCAGAGCCAGCGGTGAGCAGGCACTCACACTCACCTCTTAAGGAGATCCTCCTCCACCTCCAAGGGCTGTGGGGCACCACCATCCTCCGACTTGGGCAGTTTGGAGTCTGCAAAGAGACAAAAAGAAAATGCCTGTAAGTAGCACCCCAGGATAAATGACGGCAGGGTGGTCATCTAGGAAATGGATTTAGGAATGCGTTCCCATAGATGGACATGCCCCAGGGATGGACACATGCTCCATCCAGCCGTTCTGGAGAGTGATAGCCCAAAGGCTTTTCAGTCCCTCCTTCTGCACCAGGACCTCTTACTCATGGGACTGGAAGGAAGCAGAACTATATGAATGCAGTGTTTCAAATCCATTCCTACTCACTCTACAATTACTTGGAATCTAGGTCATCTATTAAACACAGGCCAGGAACAGATAAGGAACCACTTAATGCTAAAAGAACAGCTCCAGGGTCTGGGTTTGACATAGGGGAAGGGAGAGGAGAGGAGGTTCCTTAAATCTTGCTTCCCTTAATACCCCATTCTACAAATTTCTAATCCTGAATGTGGCAAGTACCCCCTAGTTGTGGTATTTTATATATTATTTAATCTGGATCACCTCTAGAATTATTGGGTTCTTTAAATTGTTATAACAGGTCTAGCTTTTGATGGCCTTGAACTTGGAGATTTCTGAGCATTTCCAATTCACTCTACTCTCTTCCCTACATGGTGATACTGAAGGTTTTGTTCTCCTCCCCCAGCCTTTATCCTTCTCAAACCATCTCTCAGCCAAATTTCAACATTTTTCTGTGGCCTTGGGCAAATGTCTTATACCTCCATCATAGGTTCCTAAAGCAACAGTGACTAGGACTGCACAAAATATTTTAGAAGAGTCAGGCTTTGTGAAAGAATCTGTGAGGATTTGTTATTTCACTCCCAAGATCTTTTAAAGCATGCTGAACTCACAGACTGAAGCACTCAACCCTTCAGAGAGTAATTTCCAAAAGTAATCATCCTGTGATTTGCACTTTCAGACTACCTACAGATGGATGGGCACAGTGGTGCTCCAGCCTGCCTGCCCCTCCTCGGGGGGGGAGGGGGGGGGTGCACTCCTAAATGCTCCATAGTAATATGACAGGTTCTCAAATGGAAATAAAAAATAATATACTACTGACCAGTTCTTATTTTGACATTAATGCTCCCTTATTGGCTTATGACAGCTTTACTGAGGTATAATTTATCCTATTTTTGCTTTTTATACTATTTTCCTTTTTTATCACTACAAAAATAATATAACAATCCATTGTATACAATGTAGACTAATCCACACTCCCACCTTCCATGTACGAGCCTGCCCATTTCCCTGCCCCATGGTAACGCTCATTATTTAATGCATCTTTAATAATTAGCAAAGTTGAGAATCTCATCACATGAATATGGCCATTCTTGGTACACTAAGAATCTTTAAGAACTCTTTTGTATATAAGACTACCAATACTGTCATAATTCCCTAGTTTATTATTCATTTTTCATTTATTTTTTTCTAAATTGTCTCTAATTTATTGTACTTATATTACCCACTTTTCTTCATAACTTAGGGTTTCTTTATTTGATGTAGTGCTTAGAAAGTCTACTTATTGTATTTTATGTATCATTGTACTTTTATGGCTTCAATTCTTATATTGAAATCTTGTTTGCCTCTGACATTCATTTTCAGGTATGAGGTAACATAAGGATTTAATTTTAACTTCTTTTTATAACTTATTCTATCACTAAAATAAAAGCAAACACTGATTTTTAAAGTAAAAATATTTTAAAATTAGCAACTTCAAGACAGTTCATGTATGCTATTCTTCAGCATTCAGAAACTCAAAACACACTCATCATTTATTTAAACAGCAAATCACTTTGTTATAACTAAAACCAAATGACAGATGAGCCACAATTCCTGCTTCTTAAACTAGTGAAACATACCAAAACTGAAATAAGTGCTTCTTTTTACCATCCAAAGCTGAAATTGATGTGTGCATGATATACTTTAGTAATTTTTGCTTTTTTCATCACTTCTCCTTCTCACCAGTTAATGCAGCTTATTAAAATGCCCTGGGTTAAGTTAGACCCACATTCAACAAATCAGTCAGCTAGAGAGATCATGGGAGCTAGCCCTTTTGATAAAGGATGGGGGAGAGGAGAGGCATGTAATTCGGGTTTTGAGAACCTTGCTCAGCCCCTTCACTAACAGAATATTCAAAAAGATCTTGGGATGGGTCCAAATGGAGGTACTGATTTGCTCTAAAGCTTAGGAAGCCCTGAGACAGACAATACAGGGGCAGAGGTGTTGACAACCTAGCCGGCACCCTGGCGTAAGGATGAAGCCGGAGCTCTCTGGCCCATGTGCGGAGGTCTCCAGGACACCTCCCCTTTCCTTCTTCTTTGTACTCCATCGCTAGGTCCCCAAACAGGCCAGGCTGTGCCACCTCTGGGCCTCTGCTGCTCACCATGCCCAAACTGCCTACCAACCACTGCTCTTTCAAAATCCAGTTTAAGGGCTGGCTTTAGCTCAGCGGTTCCTTCGACTACAAAAGCTCCTTGTCTCACTTGCTCATCAAAATCCAGTTTAAAAGTCAGCTCCCCTTGGGGCCCCGCCCTAAAATAATGAGTCACTCACTGCTCTGTGCTACCTTAGACTTTTGCCATGTATTTAGTGTTGCAACATACATGATACATGTGATCTACAGGGTTATTTCCATGTGTGGCTCCTTAACTAGAGTGGTGTCCCTGTCTACCTGCCACAGTGTCCCAGTACAAAGCACATGTCCTGATCCGTTTAGCTTGCAGTAAATGCTGAGTGGACAGGATATCGTTCCTGCCTTCTATAATCTAATGACCTAATAGGGAGGATTAGCAGAAATGATAACTCTAATGCAAGGCCACATACAATGCAATGAACAGTTACCCACTGTAAGACAGAGTTTATGCTCTACAGTGCCTTGGCTCCTCAAACTGGTTAAAAAAAATACACATCAAGTTATAAGTGATAGCTAGGACCCAATTTCTCATAAGCCAGTATTTACTGAGTAGAACAGCAATTGCCCCAAGACTTTTTGGTTTCTAATATCTTTATATTTTTGTCCTTTATACTTGTTTCCTTAAACTTTTTGTTCCTTTGTGTTCCTTTTAGAGAAAAGCACAAGTTTCCTTATTTGTGACAGGCACAAACGAGTAGAGAACAAATGAGCTTTGAGCCCTGCATGGGTACAAAAAGAACTCCTAGGAGGTGTGGAGTGCAAGGCCCCCCTGGGAGCACGTGGGCTAGGTTAGAGTTGCTGAAGCTGACGCCAAAGTCATCGACTCAGTTCCCCGAAAGGTCCCAATTCACATAAATCTATCATTCTTTAGACCATACCAACACTAACGATTATGCTTCACTTATGAATCCTTAAAAGCAACTTCTTATAGGGGTTGTCAAACCAAGCCCTTCAGCCTTACTTTTTACCTACAGAGAAACTGAAATAGTAAGGCAAAACAGTTTGGCCCCAGTCACAGAAGCTCGGACTGACCTGTGCTGCTCTGATTATACCAGACAGCATCTGTCATGCTCGGAGCCACACCCTCCTCCAAAGCAGCTATCAGAAAGGAATTGTTGGCATCACCCAGAAACAAACCAGAGCCACATTAGCTGTCACATATGTTCTGACAGGAGCAATGGTTTTCCATTCCTTTCACACTCCAGCTTTCCACAGAATCACTACAACCTGCCATACCTTTCTCTGGGCCTTTAGAGGTGTCAATTGTGGAAGGTGAAGGAGCAGGAGGACAAGTCAGCTGGCCCACTTGGGAAGGCTGGCTGGAATTCTTCATGCGGTTAACCACATTTTCAGAAAGCTAAGGGAAGAATTGAAGGATGGGAAAAAGTTATATCATAGAAACCTCTGTTAATGAAGACTACTCTTTATCCATATCCCAGATTGACCATTGATACCACTTCCTTAAGACCAACTCCAATAATATAATCTCATTCCAAAACCTCTTGTAATGGCCCTGTCTGGATTCCAAACCGATCACAGCAGGTCCCTTGCAGTTCTCTAGCTTCATCTCTTGCTATTCCCTGCCTGCACCCTGCACTCAAGGGGACCTGAGCTCTCACTTTTCTCACCCTCACCCATGACACTGCTCCTCGGCCAAGAACCACCAGGAGTCCCCCGACCCCCAGCACACCTCCACCTGCCCAAATCTTACCTTTCCTTTAAGGGCATCTCAGTGTCCCCTCCTCTGTGAGATCTTCCCTGACAGCACTTAAGTGAAGTAGCATTTCTCCACTTCCTTAACGCTCCCATTAGAACTCATATGTGTCTCTTAGGTACATACACACAACCTACCTGCCTCATCTTAATCGTTTGTAAACACCTTGAGGGACTCAATTATTCACCTCTGTGTACCACCCCAGTGCCACACATACTCATTTCACCTTAGTTCCCTCTAATAAAGACTGAATAACCAAAACGTTCATTCATTTTAGAGGAAGTGAAATAGGCATGAGGGTGTCATAAAACAGCTTACTGAAATAAAATAGTAGCTAAGGATAAATCAAGAATGAAAACCCTAAGTGTTCACTTCAGTAAATATTTACTAAGAGCCTAATATGTGCAAAGCATCATAAAGCACAGTTGAGAGGAAAATGTAAAAATGACTTTAAGACAAAAAGTCACAATCAGTAACTCCAATTCCAAGTATCCAGCCGAGAAAAATGCTCCCACATGTACACAGCAGCATTGAAATAGAAAAAAAAGGAAAGAAAACAATATAAATTGCAACAACAGAAAACTGATTAAAGAAATGGTGGTGTATACCTTCTATGAAATATTATGGAACCATTAAGAAAGAATGAAGTAAGACATGTAACTCACAAAAGGATGTATGAGATATACTGGTGATTTTGTGAAGTCATAGAATGCTTTGTATATCTCAATTTTATAAAAAGACATACAATTATAAAAAATGCTGACAAACAATTATAAATATGCCTATGCATATTCACAAATGTGAAATTCATTTGAACTTTCACATATATGCATACATACAAATACATGTGTCTGTTCAAATATGAAAGTCTAAAGGCCACATAAAAAACAAAGTCCGGCAAGTGGGGGCAGGAGCAGCTGTGGTAGGACTTTCACTTTGGACGCTTCTGAGTGTTAATTCTTTAGCATGAACATTTCTTTAGCAACTAAAAAAATTAATAATGATGGTGATGATAAAAATGAGTCCCTTTAGTATTTAAGATTGATGCAAATCAAATAGCTAATTAATGATACAGGACAAGAGAAGACCAAGCACATACAGCAGAGGAAGAAAATTGAGAATTTATAAATAAACCTATATATCTATGGCCAGAGGTGCCATAACAATTTAATAGAAAAAGAATAGTCTCTTCAACAAATAGTGCTGGTACAACTGTATTTACACATGTAAAAGAATGCAGTTGAACACCTATCTCATGCCATATACAAAAAATGTAGAAGCTAAAACAATGAAACTTTTAAAAGAACTGAAGCTGGCATGCCCAAGGGCCTGACAGAAGGCCAGTGCGTAGGAAGGAGAGTAGGACCAGATGATCAGGCCAAAGAGTCGGGCAAAGGCAAGACCATACAACCTGGAAAAGGATCACAATTGATCCACGGGCCAGAACAGCTCCGGTGGAGTTCTACACAGGTGAGTCCCAGACTGATCTCCTAGCCCCAGCTCAGGTGGTATCATCTGAACCATATTACTAGGTGAGTGAGGGGTTAAGGAAAACATTGGCACGCTTCTTACTGGCAGTAGGAGATTTGTATTTAAAAAGCAATATTTTAAAATGTTGCTACAAAATAGAGCAAGTAATATTTTTAATCAACAAATATACATACACACACAGTAGTCATGTGAGAATAAACACCATCTGGACAGTGCTCCCTGTACCAACAGAACCAGAATGAAGGCTTCCAGAGCCAGACGGGTCTGGAACTCGATGCTAAAGGCCCAGTGGTCACTGTGCCATCATAGCTGGCCAGATACGGTCCTAGTGGTCAGGAGATGGAAGGCCAAATCCACAGCAGTGCAAGGAAAGAGGACTGCTGCCTATACTCCAGCTGTGTGGCCTTCACCCAATTCTTCAGCTTCTCTGGGCATCACCTCTCTCACTTACAAAATGGGAATCCCTGTGATACATCTCAGGAATTAAGTGCTTTGGGCTCAGAAGGGCCTGGGTCTGAATCCAAACTAAGCTTTGAGATAAGAAGTCCCTTGACCTTGGACAAGGGACTTCTTATCTCTAAGTCAGTTTCTTCATCTGTGAGATGGAAATAATTAATGGCATAGACTGTTGAGTTGTTGTGAGGATTAAATGGAGCAATCTACATAAAGCAGTTGGCACAAAGTAAAAACCAATATTGGCTATAATGCGAAACTGCAAAGCACTATATAAATATTAATTATAATCCATACCAGGCACATACTGGATGTAAAATACCTAAATTAATAATATATTAGTTCCCTTTATCCACAAAGGATATGTTCTAGAACCCCCTGGTGGGTGCCTGAAACCATAATAGTACCAAGCCCTGTATAGACTGGTTTTTCCTATATATACCTACAATAAAATTTAATTCATAAATTATGTACAGCAAGAAATAAATAAAAAAACCAATAATAAAATATAATAATTATAATAATATACTGTCATAAAAGTAATGGGAACGTGGTTTCTCTCTCTCAAATTAGCTGATTGTTCTGTACATACCGCATGGATATACTGGACAAAGGGATCTTTCACATCCAGATGGGACAGTGTGAAATTTCATCACACTACTCAGAACAGGGCACAATTTAAAACTTATGAATTTTTTATTTCTGGAATTTTCCATTTAATATTTTCTAACCACAGTTGATTGACCAGGGGCAACTCATGAAAACAGAACTGTGGATAAAGGGACTATTGTAATAATAATAGGTAACATTCACCATCTATATATATATATAAAAGCTCAGTGACCAGAACATGGAACGACCAGAACAACCAGTGGCTATGATGCGCACTGTGGCAACCAACCAGCCTGATCTGGGCCCTAATCAGCCCCCTCATACTGGTTGGCCCAGCCCCTGATCAGCCCCCAATACCCTGATCAGGAGCCAGGCCAGCTAGCCAGCTGCCTGTGCACCCTCCCCCCCACCGACCAGCCCAGCCCAATGGGCGACAGGCCGGCTGGATCCCACCCATGCAGAAATGCATGCACCGGGCCTCTAGTATACTATAAACTGAACACTGTTCTAAGTGTTCTACATGTGTAATCTGTTCAAAATTAAATTAGGAAGATTGTTTTACAGCACCCTCCAGCTCCGACCTCCTGTCCGCAGTGTAGAGTAACACAGTATTTCAAGAAGAGGGGCCTTCCTATGTCACCACCATGGTGCAGTTGGCTGGCAGCTCCACAGGTCTCCACGGACAACACAGAGCCCAAGAAGGGACTCTCTCTCCTCCCTTCTCCAGCCCACAGCCCTAGCCCAGGCAGGCCATCAACAGCCAAAGTCAGGCCTCAATTGAAGTCACAAACATGAGAGACCTCACCACATCTGTCCTAACAAATGCTATTGGGAACCCAGACCCCACATCCTCACGATTGAAATTGCATGGCTGCAACCAAACGCTTTCCTCGCTTACTTTAGAGGCAAGTTCCCAAAGAGGGGACTAGAGGTTTATTTATTAAACCACAGAGATCTATCAGTAAGTCATGTGGCTACTCCATGACTAAAAGGCTAGAAGAGAAAGGTGCTGCCAGAAAAATCACAAGTGGGACTTATCTAGCACTGGATGGAAGAACCGTGACAGGCGTGAGCAGTGTCCTGCTGACCCACTATAATGGAGAAGGTCAGAGTCATAATAACTACAAGCAACACCCATCTCCCAGTAGAGGAAACCAAGGCACAGAAAGGGTAAAGCACGTGCCCAGGCCATGAAGCTCACAGAGTGCAAGCCAGGCTGCTTAACTCCCTAGCCAGTCTTCTGTGGGGTAAAAGGATGTGACCCCACGACAACAGCAAGGGGAAATGCACTTGCAAAGCAGCACTCACGGGCAGGAAGGGCCCTAGAAGGGACAACTATTGCAAATCTAAAGCAAGGGAGGAGTCGGGATTGCTGAGAAGCCATAACTCACATTTGACCACTTGTTTGCCGTGACTACCACCAGAATATAAGCTCCATGGGAGCAAGTTCTGTTTTGCTCTTGCTTTACCTTTAGTGCCTAGAGAGTGCACAGCACACTGGAGATGCTCAATATTTGTTAAAGACATAAACTATATAAGTATTTACTAAAGCCACATGTTCATAACACACTAATGCAATGGAGCATGTAAAGATATAATAGCCAAGAGCTTTACATTCAAAGAGCTTATGGTCCAATAGGGTGGGCAAAATAAACTCATACAGATGACACAAGCTACTAAGTTGTCAGGTTTATGAAGCTCAAATAAGGTGCCTGGGAGTTCTATTAAAGGAACCCTAAGTTCCGGCTGGAAGGAAGATGGCCTGACTTGGGCTTTTAAAAACATGACTGCAGAGAAGGGGTGAGAGCAAAGAGGAACGACACTCAGCGAGGTCCAAGGTTCCGCCTCACATAGCACAGGTCCATAAAGAAACCCAGATGAGAGGCTGGTGGGCTCCCTCGGTGAGCGCCTTGAATGACAAGGTAAGGAGGCTGTAATTTATTCTGCAGTCAACTGGGAGCTGCCAATGGTTTCTGAAGAGGAACTCAAGCTTCGCCTTGCACAGAATAGTCTGGCACCAACAGTGCACATCAGGACTAAGAGGACAGAAATGCAATCACAGAAGTGCGCGGAGGAAATGGATACAA